GGGCAAGTTTTTATAATTAATGAAATCTGATATTCTGTCTATGTGAATTAAGTCAAATAATAACATGAAACATTAAATGAACTGTGAAACACTTTAAATATTCAACTGGATCTAATTGCTCATTTGCTACCAATTGAACTTTTTCAGTATACAAAGTGATGAAAGGGGCCCTGAGTTTTTAAGTAATGTTATGTCTATAAAGTGAGTCTAAAACATGAAAATGTTTCTGAAATCTAACATAATGGTGTAAAACCCAACTGTTGCGTCTTAAAACTGAAAAAAATAAATCAAATTGTAGTTTCAAATACAGTAATTTGCTTAAAAATTCAATCATAAACTGGACGTCCTAATGATTTAAAGATTCCTTCTCTTACCCAGATTTTAACTTGGTTTCAAGTTAAGTTTTAAAAATGAATATGTATGTTCACAATGTTTAATAATAACACTACATCACAGTAATAACGGAATTAGAATTATGACAGATTTATTTGTGGCATAATTTTAATATACAGCATAAATTTTTCTAAAGTATTTATTTTCAAATTTATCTGCCATGAGATAAATTTCTAAATTCTTCTTTATATGCACTAACACTCAACTCAGTCACCTAAAAATTAAATGAAAGTTGTTATAGTCCAGTCTATGTTGCAAAACAAGTATTTCAAAAGTGGTCTACAAAAATGTCCATAGTAATTAATGTAGGGTTGGCTTTTGAAAGTTAATCTTGCATTTAGTGTTTAATAAAATATTTGATACAAAGAAATATGTAAAACATTGTGGCTCAATCACAACACTAAGCTTGCTGCAATATAGGTTAAAACGTTTTAATGGCAAAATGATATACAATTTTGTATGCAAGGCTTTTTAGTTATAACTAGTGAGAACATAAAATAATAAAACTTCACAATTTAATAGAAAATATTAGATAATACAAAAATTAAGTGCTGATTTGCTGGTAGTCTGATGGTTGAATCCACAGTCAAATGTTAACATCTTAACTCTCAATTCAATCAACTGGAATAATGAATTTGAATATAACATAAAATATAACTTTGTGTTTTTAAGTATAAATAAAGTCATTAAAATAGGACTGAGGAGAAAAAGCTAAACGACCTAAGGCAATTTCGTCTGAAGAATTGAGACTTAGATGCTGAGAAGCCTGAGGCATACTGAAAGCCAACAATGTTGGGGAGGATGACCAACTGCTCTCCTTTTTTTCCTTACTAAGAGAAATGGATTTAAAATAAAACAGGAAGGGGACAGTATACATACGAAGAAAATTTCCCTGACACAGAAGATGGCAAGTCAGATAAGCAAAGGATAGAGTAAATTAGACATAAACTATGAGGTGATTTCAGGACAGTATTGGGCAGGTGCACTGAAGTGCCCTGAGATTTTCTCTTTTCTTGTATGTTGATCTGGAAACTTGTAGAAAAGCCTTCCTTTGATAATGATTTTTGCGTAACTAGCTCAAACAGTGATTTCCCAGATTTATTTAAGCAATGAATATACTGAAGAGGGGATCATGTAAGGTAGTTTTGGGTAGAGTTTGCATAGTTCATCTTCTAAAAGTTAAAATGTAACTTTATTTGCTGAAGAGTAAACTGCTAGTAAACAATACAAATATTTAGAAACATCCCAATCTGAAAAATTCTCTTGAAGTGTATGTGGGAGTGTTATACAATTTCTATGAAGACTGGTCTAGATAATCAACTAATGTGTTTATTTCTAATTTTAAGGAGTTAGCTAGGAAGATAAAGTAATATATAAAGCAATCTGAATAACAGTGTAATAACCTGCATGTAACTGGTAGTAAGCTCAGTATAAATTTGTAAAATGCTACATGAAAATATAATGTAATCTCAAGTTCTAGGAGTTAATGACCTACAAAATATCCATGTTCACAAATATGAAAAAAAAAGTTTATTGAAATACTTTTCCATTTTAAATGACTTTCAAGAGAGATTTACAGATGCTGGAAAGTCCAGTATAATAGCAGCAGACTACTAGGTATCACATTTAGCTTTAGAAACCAAACTTGAAAATATTTTAAATAAAAACACTTGTTAAATTTTGTTGATAGTTCCCACTGAAACATCCACTTACTTGAGTGTTCTTTCCTTTCTTTAATTATTTCATATTCAGAACCTAGGTACATTTTCTGGATCAAGTGGATACATGTAAGGAAACTAAAGTGTTTTATTAAAAAAAAACCAAAAAACTGTTTTCATAATAACTCTTGTATCCCTTCTACTCAATTACTTCTCTGGATTAGCAAATTTTCTAACATCACCAAAACAGAAATCTTAAAGATGGAGGGAGTTAAAGGATTGATGAGACTGAAATTCTATGTTAAATTAATTCTTCCGAATCTAGTGTGGAATCAGTTTAGGAAAAAGTCTCTGTTTCCAAAAGTTACCTTCACTTGTCCCTTAAAATTTATCTCTAGTTCTGCAAAAATAATGTTAGGAGTGAGATGAAATGATTTTTTTTTTCGAGTTGGAGTCTCACTCGTCACCCAGACTGGAATGCAGTGGCACGCTCATAGCCACTACAGCCTCGACCTGCTGGGTTTAGTCGATCCTTCCACCTCAGCCTTCCAAGTAGCTGGAACTACAGATGCACACCATCATGTCCGGCTAGTTTTTGTGATTTGTTGTAGAGATGAGGTCTCACCAAGTTGCCTAGGCTGGTCTCGAACCTGCAGGCTCAGGCAATCCTCTGGCCTCAGCCTCCCAAAGTGCTGGGATTACAGGCTGAGCCACTGCGCCTGGCCAAGGTGAAATGATTTTCAGATTCATGATGGCAAATGTCGAATGTTGTCTTGAATTATGAGTTATTTCTCAAGCAACAAGCAGCACAGACATATCTGCACATCTTATGGTTGCTTAACTTTTAAAATCATTAAGGTATGTGGTTTGGCTGTTTTACAACCACAATTGTGTTGGGATATAATAACTGATAATGACTGTTTTTTTTTTTTGAGTTGGAGTCTCACTCTGTCGCCCAGACTGTAGTGCAGTGGCCGCTCCCGGCCACCGCAGCCTCGACCTCCTGGGCTCCGGTGATCCTTCCGCCTCAGCCTTCTGAGTAGCTAGAATTACAGGCGCGCGCTACCACGCCCGGGTAATTTTTTTATTTATTGTAGGTGGGTCTCGAACCCGCGGGCTCAGGCAATCCACTCACCTCAGCCTCCCAAAGGCGCAGGATTACAGTCTGAGCCACCAAGTCCGGCTGACTGAATTTTTTTTTTTTTTACAAAATGTCAGTCCATTACACACCATCATACAGCATGTAGGCAGTGTGGTGTGAATGAAAGAGGCATGGAGAAAGGCAGGCCCAGGCTGAAACCCAAGCTTTGTCCATTGCTAGATGTGTACCCTGGGCAAATCACTTAGCTTCTCTCAGCTTCAAGTTCCTCACTGGCAAAGCAGGAATATTACCTATAATGCTCATATGGTTGCTCTGAGGATGAAAAGAAATAGCACATGTACACCCCAGCATTCAGTATGTGACTCTGCATAACTTCCTATACTGATAACAGGGTCTTTTTTCTAATTATGCATTTAGGAAAAGTTTTACAAATTTATAACTTGTCTAAACAAAATTCAAATCAAGTTCTTTCAATGACCTAATTAGGATTTTTTTAGGGAAACTAATATTAGACTTTGATTACCTAATATGATGCTTTTAAAGTTATATTGCTATCCAGGGAAACACATTTTAATTTTTTTTAGTTAAATGACCTTTTATTCAAAAGGACACAAATACTTTCCTACATGTAAAATTTTGGGATAACAGTTAAATAACAGCTTTAAGAAACATTTATTATTAGATGAATAAAGCTAGCAAGTAATTTACAATGCTTAAATGACTTAAAAAGTCATTTACAATGCTTTTGCTTGCTTGTATATTACAGAGTCTAAAAGTCTGATATGCAGTTTGATTTAAAGTTTATTTAAAAATCTATACTTTCTATCTCTCCTACTTTTTCAAGAGTCTACTAAGAAAAACTGGGAAAAGGAAATTATTTGTTTTAAACATGCTTGAATGAAACAGGAAACTATACGGGTTCTTTTAATCTGGCATATTAATTTTAAAAAGCATTTTATTATTAAACATTAAAAAATGTTGGGAAACTTATAAGCAACTGGCTCAAACACAAAGTAGAGTAGAACATAAGATAACTCTTCTTCTCATGCAAAGAATCAGTTAGACTCCAAATGGTCAATTGTCCACAGTGCTTTAAGAGACGGAATATAATTTATTTTGATTCAAAGTTGTCCTACAAATCTTTGAAAAGAATATCCTAAAATGCATTTGAAAGACATTTAAGGAAAAGAGAACTAAGTGAAAATATACTGAAAAAAATAATCTGTTAATAGTAGAAGAATAATAACTGAAAAGATTACATGCCAGAAGACTGAAATTTCTGTAAAAGGTTGGAATCAAGAGAAGGGCCAATAAAACAGAAAAGGTGGAAATCCTGGGCACTAAGTAAGATGACTCAATTCTAATAATTCAGAACTGTGTTCAGCAATCCAGCTGAATAAATGGTAAGTGTTGTACTAGCTTGTAAGATCATAGCAGGTGGCAAACAAGAGAAGGCTTATATACAGGTAAGTCAAGTATTTTGGACAACAAATTGAGAAATTTAAGCTGCCTTTAATTAAATGATGAAACAGAGGAATATGAGTGAAAAATATTGTTCAGGAGATAAAAACCTAAATCTGGATTTGTGAATTTGTGTTTTCCTCTTAAATTTTTAATCTTTGGAAATATCTTAGAACTTAAGTATATGACATCTATTAAGTGCACTGAAAATCTGAAAAAAAAAATAAAACAAGTGAGATCATTATTGTTTGCAAATTGATAGAAAATAACTTGTGCTTGGAAAAAAAGTCCCTTATTTGACAGAAAGTGCTATATTTTTTAAAAATGCAGAGGTTTTTATTTTAGAGTAGATTAGTAATGAAAGAAGTAAGCTTTAAAAAATAATATGATTTCCAGACATGTTTTCACTAAAAGGTAGACTCTAATATAATGTAAATAATAAATGCTGTTCACATATCAAAGATCATGTGAAAAAGTGGCAAAAGGAGAAATCATGAAAACAGGATTAGTAAAGAAAACAATTTTGCAAAGAGAGAGTCTAAGTCTCAGTCTGATCAAAAAAGGTAGATCTGGCAGCAGTACTTCCTTCCATAGGGATCTGGCATGCCAGTTGAATGATTTTCCACACAGTGTTTTAGGTCATGGGAAGAGGACTCATTTTCAGATTAAGTCACCAGGCTTTGCTTGGGATCACAGTAAAAGATACTACAGGTTCAAAACTATGAATTATTTTTAAGTTATAGTAAAGAGTAAATGTAATTTTATTTGAGTCAAAGATGGCCTATTCAGAGAATGAAGGCTATAACACTATACTGCCTTAACCATTTACCTACTTAAAAATTCCATAGAAGTATATAGCTCTGCAAGTTTTCTGATAAAAATGTATTTCTTAAATAAATGGATATGGAACATAAACATACATAGAAAAATAAAATAAAATGGGAAAAGACTAATATTTGATTTCCTGTATTTTGTTCTATTCTCTCTTATGAACTTTCAAAACCAGAACCAAATACATTTATTCAAATGCCTGGAAGGAAACATTTAGGATTTGGAAGGTTAAAAGAAACGGTATTTCAAATTAGGTTTTGGTAGTTTCTTCTTTAGAGCCCTTTAAGACAATGTTTCTGCATTCTCCACAATAAGGAGAGAGAAAGTAAGAAATCAGGTAGCTGCTTTCTCCTGTGCAAAATTCACTGTCATATAGAACTGACCTACAAAAAGTATGGGCAATGGGGAGAAAAATGTTCATATTATGGAAGAATGTGTGCTCTGTTAGGAAGAGAGCTTATAAGAAAGCTTATTTGTGGCCTATCGACTATTGCACATTCAAACAAAACACAAAAGAAAAGAATGTCCAACAGATAATATGTTTGGGAACGTATCAACATATAAACTAGCTTGTGCCCAGAAATAAAACATGGATACCAGACACCACTGCAGTCAAACCTGTCTTAATTTGCTTCTGTTTTAATGACCTTTAGAAACTGGTCCAAACTGATTATCAGCAACACATTGTTTTTGCTTTTTTTCTTAAAAAAATATTTTGAGACCACTTTTGATACACACACATATAACTCTGTGGTCATAACAGACAAATATAACTTTAGCGAGACTAAACAAAAGTGCAAAACTTAAAAAACAAAATTAAAAAATATGGAAGCATAAGCTAAATTTTTCTGCATAGCTGAAATCTATTTAAAGCAAGTCCTTGTTGCAGGGGTGGGAGGGGTGCTGACAGGAGGATAAAGCAGTTTTTTTTTTAATGTCTTCTGCATGTTTAAATGATGCAAAAAATAATTTCACTCCGTAGGCTTGAAAACATTTCACAGACAGTTCATTCCTATATCTTTAGACACCATGGTTGTGGCAGTGCCTCCTTCAGCAAGGTAGACAGCAGTGCTGGATTTGGAATGAACTGCCCTGTCATTGCCATTGTTGTTGACCTCACAGTCCAGTGGTTCAGTGGAGATGACCCAGGTAGAGGGGCGCCACCGCTTAAGAGAATAGGGAGTTTTCACACGTTTCTTGATCTTTTCACCTGATCCTGATTTGCCATCTTGTGTTGACTCACCTACTGAAAACAAAAGTACAGAAAAATGAACTAAATATAAAAGAACTTAATATTAAGTAATAAAAGGTTAGGGTTATAACTCAAGAAGGGGTCAAACTAATGTCTGCAGAGGGTGTTAATGAACATTTCTTGATACCAAAGTTTTTCTAGGCAAAGCTTAACTAAGACTCTTTAAAAGAAATGCTTGTATAACTGATTTAATTATTCTACAGGGCAAAGAAAAATACAAAGAACAGAGGAGAAAATGTAAAGTTCTCAGCTATATTCTCAAATACTTTGTTTTTGGTAGAGATCATAACTTGATACAATGCACTTAATTCTTCCATTTAATGCTCAAAATGGGTCAAAATTTAAAGGCACCTGGCACATAATGTTTTTCAGAATAATGACAGAAATGTTAGAGCACAAATTTTCTAAAAATTCCCTCTCATATCTGACAAGATGTTTTACTGATGCAGAGTCCTGAAATAAGGGTCTGTCACCTGGTCTGTAATACAAGTCACTCAAGCAAAGGGGCTAGATTGTTTTTTGAAACCTATATGCTTCCTTCAGTCCACTGTGTAGGGCTTGACAATTATTATTATTATTATTTTTTTTATTTTTTATTTTTTTGAGTTGGAGTCTCACTCTGTTGCCCAGACTGGAGTGCAGTGGCCGCTCCTGGCCACTGCAACCTTGACCTGCTGGGCTCCGGCGATCCTTCCGCCTCAGCCTTCCAAGTAGCTGGAACTACAGGCGTGCACTACCACGCCCGGCTGATTTTTTGATTTATTGTAGAGATGAGGTCTCGCTGCCCAGGCAGGTCTCAAACCCGTGGGCTCAGGCCATCCACTTACCTCAGCCCCCCAAAGGCACGGGATTACAGGCTAAGCTACTGAGCCCGGCAACAATTATTATTATTATTATTATTTTTTGAGTTGGAGTCTTACTCTGTCACCCGGACTGGAGTGCAGAGCGGCCACTGCAGCCTCGACCTGCTGGACTCCGGTGATCCTTTCGCCTCAGCCTTTCGAGTAGCCAGAATTACAGGCATGCGCTACCACGCCCAGCTGATTTTTTGATTTTATTGTAGAGATGAGGTCTCACCAAGTTGCCCAGG